ATAAAAAATAGAGCCCATTAAATGTGTCTTGCTCTGTATTTCTGTATTAACAGCAAAACAGTTCACTCTGGGATCATTTAAATTTTCTTCTTCCTCTTTGCCTGCGATTTCCCTGTTCACTGAGACCCGTTTGGTTAAAAAAAAAAAAAAAAAAACCCCCCAAACAATACCCTGAGCAACACCAACAGGTGAGGAGCTGCAGAACTTCTCACAGCCCCTATAATGCTCAGCTGGGTGACATTTTTAATATGACATTACGCCACAGCTCTACCTTCCCTCCTCCCCCTCCCCGGGCTTCCCCACGGAAACATACTTCCACTGTGGTGGATCATGCCAAGCAGTGATATCCAGAAATGAAAAACACAATACTTAAGAATAATTTCACTGGGATCATGCTTACAATACACAAGGTGAGACTTTTATAATATACTGTTACAATACAGATGTTAAACAGAGAGGGGAAATATTCAATTCCCAAATTACAATAGACAGAGGGGTTGTAGTCCTTATAAAAGTTTCAACAAGAAACATTATCTTAGAGCTGAGAGCAGCCTTCTGATGTTAGGTGGGAAGACTCTTGTCAAGACACCCACCATCTGCATTATGAAGACTGCCGACCAGCTGCCGGGTAACAAAAATCTCCACAAACAGACTTAGGTGAGACAACCGCGTTTCTCTTTCAGACCTCCTTGCCCATGGACTGCCTTGGCGGCTGATGCCACGCTTTGTGGTACAAGGCCACTTGGTGGTGTTTTTTAGCATTTCCTAGAGGATACATGTACTGTTTAATGCCCAGTTCCTAGCGCACGTTCGGGACCATAAAGGAGATTGTGTTTGTAAGCATTTCCACGGAGGTGCAATGAGCCGGTCATTGCTCCTTAATCGGCCTTTCGTATTTTCATTTATTGTCTATTGAAACCAGAATACTGGAAAATCTCTGGGAGACCCCCCCTCTCGCCCCAAACAGTTGTTTTGCCCTGGCTCCAGGGCACAGCAATTACCTGAAAGGACAGTGATCCCGTAGCGAGGCAGAGTTCAGCTCTAAGCCTGGAGCTCATCCATTCTCAAGCAACACTTTCACATGCTACCATTTTGTGCCTAAGAAGACTGGTTGCCACCAAGAGATGGTGTGAAAGACCATGAACTTGGCAAAACATAAAAATTGTTCATTAATTTCTTGGATTTTGATTAAAATTTGATGCATTGCAGATTTTATTCTCTGCAGATGAAGAGACCCTGTGACGCTTGACACCAGTGAATCTGGCACCAGCTCCGCGATTCACCCTGCCGTGCGCGCACTCCGCCAATCCACGGGTAACATCAACTCCTCACTGCAACTTTCAGCCACTGAATAACTGAATTTTCATGATGCTACACTTTAATTCTTAACCCTTCTAGACAGTTTTTGTACCTTTTTCTACTGGAGAATTCAAGCTACAGCATAACATTATTATTGTGGGTACGACTGGCTTCGTCTAATGTTAAAATTTCCCTTCTCCAAATGTGTTTTCCTTCTCAGCTTTTTTTGTGCAAGGCCACGTTCCTCTCTCCTCCCCATACTTGCTGTAGTTTCTCAGATTTGGTGCATCTTTTTTCCACGTTAATCACCTTTACTCTTTCTACGAAGTGAAAAATCCTTTAATTTATTTGCTTTCAAATGTGCAAATAAAACCTTAAACAGGAAGAATAAAGATTCATCCAGAGGAATGGGAGCGCTCTTGCACTTGCACATTCTTTGAAGTGTGGGCAGCTTTCTTAACATGCACCGTAACAATAAACCTCACAATTTTCTAAAGCCGAATATATGATCTATACAAACAATTTTTTTTAATGTGAAAACATGACTTTATACATCATAGTGTATGATACACACTTCAAACACTTTCAAATCAAAGCTTGATAGACCCCAAGACTTTTTCTATAGTACATAAGTAGTAGTATATAAAACAATTATTACTACATGCTAAAACAGATTTCCACAGTCTTTTAATTAAGCACAATATATATAATATATATATGTATATACTGTATATAGATTTGTTCAGATTAATAAGTGGACTGAGCACACACACCCAGCATAATACACTCCAGTAACTGCCTAACAACTGTGAATTTACTGACATTAATTTATTTTTTAAATCTGACAAAGCTGAAGAAAATAATGTTTTAACTGTTCCTAATAAACATAAGCAAGTAAAAAAACTTTTTTTCAGAGGTAGAGGTTTTATTGCGTAAAACACTGGATAAAACTGTACTGCTTCAAAGACGTTTTTATTCTAACAGCAGAAAGAAAACAGTCATTGCTGAAAAAACAACTTTTAATACTTCTATACCAGAAGAAAATTCTGTCAACTGATGTATTATAATAATAAATAATGACCAAGAATAAACTTTAAATACAAAGTTTTCTAATTGTTACAAGCATAGCAACAAAATCCTCTACTCTATTGATCTCAGATTTCCTCCAAGATAGAAATTTTTCTTTGTGTAGGAATGTAGACAGTATTATGACCAGTATCACAGACTACAGAAGTTACAGAGAAAAAACTTGACATGTTTAGATATGAGAAGCATGATGATATTCAGAAACTGACAATGCATCACTGCTGCTGTCACTTGTTTGTATTACAAGTTACAAATGTTCTGGAAAAAAGGGCTATGTCAGAGGGGAGGATAGGGACAGTAGCACCCGACCAAATGGAATCAACACACACATCACAAGGAGCGGGAGATGTTTCCAGTGTCACAAACAGAATTATTGCCTGTCGTATCTGAAAATGCTCAGAAGACACAAAAGAATACTGAAAGAGCTCAAAAAGTGCAAGAAATGGAATGTGGGGAGTGGTTTCGTTTTTTTTTCTCTTTTTTTTTTTTCCTAAGATACTGAAGGCGGCGCAAACACACAAAAGCAAGCGACTGACACAGTCACCAAACACAGTAGTGCAGTTAAAATCCTAAAGCTTACTACAGTCAGAAAGTTTCAATAACATTTCAATCCTTTATCTAGGATCATAGAAACAGTTGCATTAAGTTTATCAACTCGATTTAAGTAAGGCAGTGAGAACTATACTAGAAAAACAAGAAAAGCAGCTTGCTCTGTGCCAGATGGGTCCAAGTTACACAGTGACCTCATTTAAACTGAAACTTCAGTTGGATGACATCCTTTCCGACAGCATATGCAAACCGTATTCCTTATTAGCCTGAGATTTTTTTTCCGGTCTCAGGGTAGCGCTAAGAATTTTATTTACATTGATTGCAGTTTAGTATTTTTTGTAAACTGCTTTAGGCAGAGCTGAAGTTTTAAGGCCCTGGGGTTTTACTCTGTGCTCCCAGCCTGCAAAGAAATATTGACTTTTTTTTTCTTTTTTTTCCTTTTTTTTTTTTAAGTCTGGATGATTTTGTTTTAGAAGTTGTTAATACTTCTCTACCATCACAATAAACAGCACCGATTTTGCTTCTATCAAAGGAAGTACATTAGAAGGCTAAAATTTTATGCCATTCAGAGGATTTCAGAATAAACCTTTAGTTATTTTTCTTATTTTTTTTTAGGTATGTGGTTCATTACAGTCTCTCAAAAGCTTCCTATGTGGCAAAGACCTTACTAAATTTGGAGCATCCAATCAGTAAAAAAGCTAAAATCTGCAAAAATATAGAACGCATTTGTTTTACAAAACCAAAGAAATATCAGCTAAAACACTTTTCTTCATTAGAGACAAAGAGCAGGAAGTTTGGATTCATATTTTAGGTCAAGCTACTTTATAAGAGCTTGCTCCAGAAGAAACTTCTGCACTATGTCTGTAACACTTACAAAAACTAACACATGAAAATTAACCATGACTGGGGAATCCTTCATTCAAGTGTAAAAAAAAAAAAGGAACTTCAAGGAAGTTTGAAAGAAAACAACAAGAAAAGAAAAGAGCAGAAGAAGAAAAAGAAAATTACCAACCTTCTATGTAATAAAATTCTGTTTCTCACCAGCACCTTCTATAGATAAGGCTGACTAGTTTCACTAAACAATATTTCTATATATTGTACTTCTACTTTTATAGCAACTTACTTCTTCATCAACAAGGAAAAAAAAAGAATAAAAGCATTTCCCTCAATACTGCAAGATGATTACAAAAAATGGAATTACATTTCAAATCTGCAATCACACATCGGGCTGCAGATTTTTCCTAACCATTGATTCATTTGGCTGTGTATTTAAAAAAAAAAGAAAATGTAACATCACAATACTTTTCAATACAGGTCAGTACTGACCCTAGCTTATGGGCCGTCTAAGGTTTCTCCTATACTGCAGTTGCAACAGCACTCGAATTGATTTTCTCTGCAATGACAGCTCCAGTCAGACTGGCACCATGGCAGTCTACCAACACATCTCATTACTATGCTAGGCAAATGACAGCAGCTGGTGTCATATTATAAAGGTGTTTTCAACAATGAAAACACAGCCCCTCAATCTTCAAGGCAACACTAAATCGTTTAGACGGTATCATTTTTCTGTTAAGAGCATTATTTTTGGACAAAGACCACTTTAAAGTTTGAAATTGCCCTGCTTTTTAAGTAACTAACGACCTCCTAACATTTTTAAATCACTTTATTATCCCACCTACATTGTTTGGAAGTACTTGTTGCCAGGTAACAGTTTAGCAGCCATTTTCAAGGGCTGGAAATTTATTTTGCATGTGTAATATATACATTTAAACACACACACACACACGTATGGAATGTGTGTATTTTGTGTGTGTGTGTGTATGTAGATATATATTCAATGTGTGTATGACTGAATATCTCTGTGTGTGTAAATATATATATATATGCGCGTGTGTGTGTACGTGTACATATACATATATTCGAATGTTCTCAGCATCCTGTACACTTCTGGGAATTTGCACACCGTTCTTTCGCTTGGAAGGCAGTTAGCCGACCCTCACCCAAATGCATACGGAAACCCGGTGTAAAAGGCTACTGCAGTATGGAGACGGATCTGCCGAGCTGCATCACTCCTGGGCCTTGCTGCCCTCCTCCGTTAGCTCTGCCGAGCTCCCCGGTTTGACAGCTGCAGGTTCCTCCAAATTCCCAGAAGCTTCGGAGTCAACTCTGGAGCGCTTGAACCTGCGGTCGGGATACTGGCTGTTGTCAAAAGGCATGCGATGGACACAGAGAACATGGGTCTTCAGATTTCCCTTCTGAGAGGCACTGTACGGGCAGTATCTGCACTGGAAAGGCCTGTGACCTGCGTGACAGACAAGAGTCTGGTTAGTTTTTTTATTTTATGTACGTGGCGCCTGCAAACCCGCCCGTTGCACGGCCTGACAAAACCGAACACGCCGGAGCCGCCCCAGCAGAAATCCCTCCTGTTGGACAGAGGACATCACTGCGTGTCTGCAGCGAGAATAAGAAATCTGTGCTATTCGCATGATGCCTAGTAAAAGAAACTGCATTTTAAAAATTGTCTGCTTCGGATTTTCCAGGAAAGTGCAGCTATTTCATCTCCCTCCTCAGACCCAGCTGTAAATCCATCAGCCTGCGATCCAAACTAAACTCTTGTAAATACAGTGCAATCGTGTGTGAGACTGCCTTCTTTTACATTTGTTAATTATCTTTTTTATTGAAGTGCAATTCAAGGATGACAATGTGCAGACCCTTAGTCTAATAAACACACTTTGTCTTTGGGTGGGTTTCTGAGTAAAGAATTGTATGTTTTATTTCAATCACACAGATTACTTTTTAATGGAAAGAAATAATGGATCGAGATAACCAAGGCCTCAAACCTGCAAACATTTACTCCAGTGAGATTACTCCTGTGAGTAAAGATACGCGAGCACATAAGTGTTTGCTGGACCTGGGCCTAAGGTTATCACCAGCTTTAAAATAAAATGGCCAAGCTAGATTAGAAAAGGAATGTTAATGCACAAAATCTGATAGATGCACTTCTTGTGGGTGAAACAGCAACCGACTGCAAAATGAAGGCATGAATGAAAGATATCACTTCTTGGTAAGTCTATCAATATAATCTCCCATATTTTTCAGATTATTGTGACTTTGAATCTCCATGCTGTATCTGGTTTCGGAGGTTATGTTTCAGCAATCACATTTCAACCTATGCTGGGAAGTTGTTGATGTGTTTTACTGGAACTTTATGAGCTTTGTCTCTCAAATTAACTTAAACCAGGACCATCTGAGGTCAAATGCGCTTAGCTTGCTTTAATTTGCTCAAATAAATGAATAAATAAATGTGCCAGACCATCTACATAAAGCCAGGCTAAGTGAAAAACAATACCCTATCTCCACATTTGAAGAGCACATTTTCCTTTGCTGTCGTGGTACTACCTAGCAGGCATAAAACAGACGCTGGTGTAGCAGAGGAGGAGGAGGACTATGCTTCCTGCTATGGGGGAAGGGGCTGGGACCATCTCACCTTGATTTTAGGTGGAAATTTAACAGATAAGCAAATGGATGCTTGCTGTGCACTGGTCCGACGTTACCCGTACTGGAGTGGGAATGCTACCGTAGTCCTCCCAGCAGAGACCGGAGCCTGGATAACTGCTGGTTTTAACCTGGCACACCAGCACGAGCACCTCTAGCAGAGTAAATTCACCTGAGCCAGCGTTAGTGCTCTGGGTTGCTCAAATAACCTGTCATTTTTACTGTAACATCAAAACTACCACTTGAAGGCTGAGTCCCCCAAAACATACTGCTTGCTACCCAGAGGAAAGAAGTGTTAAGTCCAGTCCACAGTTACCTAAGCCCTATGCCCCAGGACTACAGGCATGTTCCCTTTCTCAAGGATTGAAAGCTCCCCTCCACCCTTTGCTTTTACAAGTTGAAGACTGCCAGGAGTGTGACCACCCCCCCAACACCTCCAACATGCACGTTTATGCATAAATCTTGGGATGGAGTGTGGGTCGATCTTCTATTTCTCTCCTGGGATAAAGAAAGACACTTTCCTCAACAACTTCATACGGAAAAAGAAATTAAATCTGTAAGCTGCTAATCATTACAAAGTAAAATTTCAGTGGAAAATTTCATAGCAATAGCAATGGAAGAAACCTGCATAGATAATGTTACAGAAATTGGATTGGGCTTTTATAGAAAAATTTCAGCTGAAAGATATGAGGAAATAGTCAAAGAAGAGATTGAAGGTGTCCCTCGTGCCTCTTAGAGTCAGTCCTAAAATCAATACAGAAGCACAAATACGCTTGAAAAATTTTGAATATAATAGTTTTGAAAATGGAAGCGCTCTCAAAACTGTCTGGGTATGAAAAAGGTCCAGAGAAAGTCTGATTTTCATTGTTTCAGAAAATCCAGAAATATTTGAAAACTCAGAGAAAAAAAATCTAAGAAAACCATTACATCTCTCCCGTTGTTTGCCAGAGACAGATAAAATCACCAGCATTCACAGCTGGGTTCTGGACTCTTTCTTTCCTTCTCCTTTTTCTCCCTCCTGGGTAATGCCTCTGACCAAGCAGAGTTAAGGGGTCTATTGTGTACTCTGCTCGGGGAGGTGCCACAACGCCTTGGTCAAAGTGGGAGAAATGTTGGGTAAAGGGGAAGGAGACTTGCTCCATGAAGAATTGAAGTGATTTTTTTCCCTATCTCCAAAAGATAAAGGCCTGCCACTCTCACATCCACTGAGATGTGAGACTATCTACACCAGCAGCACCAGCTCCCTTCCAGTATTTCCAGTGTTTCATTTGACCACCTGACGACTGGTTCCCTTGCTAAGAACAGAAGACACACTGCTAAGTTGTGACAAATGGTACAACTTGCTCTCCAGCCTTATTTACTCTGGTTTTATTGATGCCATGGAAGAAGAAAAAGATATCCTGTTTATTTGGTCCTTCTTGTGTGCTGCAATGGCCAGCGACTGGATGTACCATAGATGATACAGTGTCCCTGATAACTGCTCGCAGAGCAGCATGCAGGGACCACAGACAGTGATGGGACTCCAGGAGTGAGCAGGCACAACGCGCCCATCGGCCACCCTCTGAACCCCTCAAGAATCATGCAGCATGGAAATACACTGGGCAGTTTTAGCTAGAATTGGTACCACCAGCCAAAAATACACTGGGCAGTTTTAGCTAGAATTGGTGTAGAACCAGCCAAACGTGTGAGAGCTCACCAAGCCGCTCTTAATGCTTTGCCCACAAGCAGCTATCATTAAATGGCCATCCTAATCCTTTCCTGCAAAGAACAAATTCTGAACAAGGAATCCACAAAGCATGGATGGAGCTAACCACCTCACATGCACCAGACTAAAAGCGAACTCTTTCTGCCCACCACCAAACCAAGTCCAAACCTGTGCAATTCCATACAGAGAATGCCATTTAATTCAATGCACTTTAATAAATCAGACAATATAAAGTGCACCTACAAGGATTCAGTTCTGCATTGCCTCCCCCACAACTTACTTTTTCAGGCCATCAAAATTTCACATCACTGTCTTGTGAAAAGTAAGTACACAATAAGTTAATTTGTATTGTCACTATGCAGTACAACTGTGGTAAAGAGCACATTCATTTTTAATCCGGTATGAATAATATATAAATATGTATACAGAGTGAGGGTCATAGGAAAGCAAGTGGTACATTGTTTACAGCAGAAGTAGTACAAAACCTAGAGATTATTCTCACTTGCAAAGATAACAGTATCTGCAATTTTCTTGTAACTAAAGGGTGAAGGAAAATGGCCATTTCTCTTAGGTATTCCACCCATTAATTTTAGCTCAAAAACTTGTTGTGGGCAGCAGGCTCTTAAAATAACCCTTCCCAGATAAGTTGGCAATAAATTTATAATGTTTTATCTAGCAGTGGTTGGTAGGTTCTTTCTTAGCAAGCTATAGTTCATATATATTTTACCCACTATATATCTTCCAATAAAATTATATGAAAGCCCTTTAAAAAAAAAAGAAATCTTCCTGATAGTTCAGGAGATAATGTGTAATGCATTGCATTTGTAGTAAGGAGAATTAGACTAAAGGTGGGCCAACAAGGGGGGCAAACTGTTGTGCATCTTTCTTCGATCAAAAAGTGAGGATAGAGGACAACATATTGTTTGCAGCTGAAATAATCCTGTTGTGGAGCAATGTTCTATGAAGTCTGTGACTGAGCGATCTTCCTGATAGTTCAGGAGATAATGTGTAATGCATTGCATTTGTAGTAAGGAGAATTAGACTAAAGGTGGGCCAACAAGGGGGGCAAACTGTTGTGCATCTTTCTTCGATCAAAAAGTGAGGATAGAGGACAACATATTGTTTGCAGCTGAAATAATCCTGTTGTGGAGCAATGTTCTATGAAGTCTGTGACTGAGCGTGTGAAGAGACTTCGTAATCCTCTGGATGGAAGCTGACAGTCTAAAGAAATGGAACAGCAGAAAAAAATAATAAAAAATAGCTAAAATTACAACAATGGTAGCTAGACTCAAAGAACATTTTTAGAAGGTGCGGATTTTCCCAGGAAGGGTGATTACCTCCGGCACCTGCTGAAGCCTCTGAAAGTGATCTAAACCTTCCAGCATCAGACCCAGCAATGGCAGCAGTGCTGAGATGACCTAGGCTCATCATCTTCTCTAGTTTTGACTGTACCCTGGCGAGAACAAGGAGTGTGGATGGGAGGTACTTTCTGGTCAGGATGGAGAACTTTTCTGTGGGACCAATATTTAGAAAAATCCCTCAATGTTTGAAACTAGTCCACCTTTTTAAAAATATATGCTGCTTCGTTAATTTAGGCTTTGAGGAAAAAAAAGTTTGTTTTCTTTTCTTTCAAGTTTGTGATCTGATATGTTGCTTTGTGACACATCATGTCAGCATACATCAGTCACATCGCGTTAGGTTTCATAACATGGCATGACTGATGCAGCCCAACGGTGCATCAGCTGAACAGAGTCAGAAAATGCAGGCTTTGAGAAAGACGTGGATCTCAAGCTGGGTTTTAGGACCATTTAAAGGAAAGTATATTTAAAGCAGGGGCCTTGGATTTAAACAAAACCATTGCCTGTGCGTTGTTAAGGATTCAAATACTTGCCAAACCTATTTTGCTTTGTCTTATCTTTAAAACTCAAAATGTATTATTGGAACACACAAAAAGTCAATGTCAACGAAGTGTCATTGGGTTACTCTCTGTAATCCAAACACTGCTAATAGTTACTAATTTATTAACTTTGATATGGATCCATTATTTAAGATTAGCACAAAGGAATACAGAAACAAGAGAGAGAGAAAGAATGATGAATACT